ATATATATAAATTAGATATAATAAATTAAAATTTTTCCCAGTAAACAGGAATGAATTAAAATAGATTACAATTTTATCTATACAAATACGTATTTTAAATAAGAAAAACTTTTTTTTAGATTTAATTGTATTTAATTAGATTCAATTAGATTTAACTGGATTCAGTTGAATTAAAAAACTACATTTTCTATTTAGAATTTTGAATTAAGAAATATTTACAAGACACAAAAGAAGCTAATACTATTTTTAAATTGAAAGGCATAGAGATATACTTCATACAATTCTTGTAAATAAATAAAAATGCATTTAGATTCATCTTAACGTTCGCGAATGCGTATTTTTGAAAATTCAAATCCATTTCAATCTATTCTCATTCACTGGGCGATTGAAGAAAAGCGGATTGGAAATAGAATTAAATTATACATTAATTTATATATTTGTACATCGATTTCCATATATTGTAAGTTTAATTTTCTTATAAATAATTAGAACACTATATTATACATATATTAAAGATAACAAACATTGCATATAACTACAAGTTGTCTTTTATATAGACATTAAAAATCCATAAAATTTTCTTTTTATGTAAATGATACTTTATTTGCTATTTTTTGTAAATACTTTCTGTATTGTATAAATATACATAAAACAATTTAATTCTAAATAAGAAATAATCTCATTCTGAAAATACAGTAAGTATCTCCAAAAAGAAACACCTTTCAATTAAAAAAATTAATTTGTTTGTGTACAGCATTTATTTACTCATCATAAAATATAATTTAATAAATATGAATGGGGTTTAAGTAGTTTTATAACGTATCGAAGAAGAGCCACTTATATATTACCCATAGTACTCCAATAAAGATAATAGTTTTTACCATTCTGACGAGCAGATATACTCTAGAATATAAAATAAATGCTATTAATATTCATATTCAAATTTTGATTATATTATATCTCTTATACTATATTATACAAGGGTATATTTAAACTCTATCTTATTATTTAATATGCACTAAAGCTTTTATCCATTTTTCCTTTTTCTTTATATTTAATTCTATATTATTTGTGTTATATAGAATATATTGGAAACAGTAAGTAATTTATGTTCAATATTTTTATAAATAATTATTAAAAATATCTTACCCTATCATTCAGATAATAAATATAATATTAAATTTGTAATTAAGATTTTGAAATTTTTGACATATTTAACTGAGATAAAATTACTAAGAATGTTAATGTTAATCATATATTTTTTATACATAATTAGAATCGTTTATTCGTTATTTTCTGAATTATGAACTATTTTTACCTTTTATTATGTGCTTTGACTGTATCTAATCGACTCATGTCTTCATGAAGAAGAAACTTTTTTCCACCAATGGCACTATTTCTTCATATTGTAAAATAAATACTTTTTGGTTTTAAATTATCTTTATTGTAAATATTATCTATTTGAAATTAAAAATATGATACACACTTACTTGCAATACGTTTTAATATCAAGATTAGAACAATCAAAAGAAAACGAATCAAGATTGTCATGTGGTATTAAAGACGTCAGAGTCAACCTATTGATATTGCTGTATTTCCATTCATGGAATGAAAAGTAACTCACAGCACGATTGGCCACATATACTCTTCTTTGGAGTTTTACTAACCTAATTTACACTTTACTTATTAACAAGATACGGTTTAGTTAATACAGCTTTAATACAGTTATATATCTCAATCTGTGGATTGAGAATTCAAAAATATAAATTAGAGAAAAAACAAGAAATTTGGAAAGAATAAGTACATTTTTTTTTATAGATACATAATCATTTTATATAATAGTTATCTCTAAATATGTATAATAATAAATCTAAATAGTAGATAAAGAGAAATAATATTTACGTAAATTGTTTTATACGAAGGAGGAAAATATAATAAGACTGTTTTTTAGCTTTGCTCAGGATTTTTAGAAAACAATTTTTTCATATTATATAATTATAATGTTAAAAATAGGAATGTTAAACATTTATCTATTAGATTCATTAGCAGAAACGTTAAAAATAATCGTTAAATAAGAAAAACTCAATTCATAATTAATACTCAAACAACGCAGTCTGAAATTATGATATAAGTTTGATTTTAAGTCGACGCAAAAAACGTCTAATGATCTGATTTTAGACATTTTTTGTTAGTCTAGATATATTGTTATAGTATCTAAATCCTTTTCATGACTAATAAATGAATTATATAATAAAATATTTTTTCTCATTATACAGCTCTGTACCGTTATATTAATGTCAGTTTAGATTACGTCTATCACCCTTAAGATGAAGACGAATAGAACTCATC